CCTAATATATAGTATATGATGACCCAAGGATACCCCTAATATAGGGTATATGTGGACCCAAGAGTACTCCCAATATATAGTATAGGATGACCCAAGGGTACCCCTAATATATACTATATGTGGACCCAAGGGTACTCCCAATATATAGTATATGATGACTCAAGGGTACTTTCAATATAGAGGAGATGATTACCTACGGATGACTCCTTTTACAGTGCATGAAGATTTGCGAGTGTTTTCATAAGCGTTTATGCATTTTTATGAATTTTTAAGAAAAATTTTGTTTTTTATAGGAAAATGTTTACTTTAACTTAAAATTTTGTAAAGTTAAAGTTTAAAGTATGATCACTTTAACTTTAAAAGTTAAATTTAAAGTAGTGCAGTTTAAACTTTAAGCTTTAACTTTAAAATAAAGTTAAAGTGCTACCCCTAATCCCTATAACAATACAAGCGTTTAGTTTTTGGAAGTAATTCCCCAAAACAGAACATTTCTGTTCTGTTACGGGAATTATTTCCCAAAAACAGAACAAAAATGTTCTCTTTTTGGAAAATAATTCCAAGAGAGAGACTGCTGACTCCAGTCTGGTGGAGTCAATTGGAGTCAAGTGGAGTCAAGTGGAGTCAAGTGGAGTCAAGTGGAGTCAAGTGGAGTCAGGTGGAGTCAAGTGGAGTCATGGAGTCAGCTGTTTCCCCCTTGAGGCGACTACATCATTCATTTAGAAAATACCATTAAAATATAGTAGCTAACGTGTAAGGACTCTTATAACACATGATATTTACTATTTTATTATTTTATTAGTATTTAAATATATTGATAAATTAATTTTAGTTTATGCATATACAGATGAATTTCATCCATCAAATAAATATCTTATTTCAGATATATCGTATTACTTTGATGATGATTTCATTGATGAATCAGGTTTATTTCAAAATCAAAAGAAATTTAGATAAGTATGTATTTAATTTCAATTATTTTATAATAGAATATTTATATTTTTCTAGAATTGAATCTCGAATTAAACAATCTACTCAACGTTTTCGTGATGATTATATTGTTAAAGAATTTTTTAATTGTTGGAAAGATTATACTGTTGAACAAACTCGTATAGCTGAATTAAGACGAAAACGTATTACAATTGATTTTCGTGAATTTTGGTTTCAAGATGCTATTTTTGATTCATTCTATTCTTATTTTGAACAACCATTAGATTATATTAAAAAACAAGATAATCATCATCAAATGGCATATCGTTTACATAAACGTCTTGTACGTACAGATCGTGAACAATCAAAAGAAACAATGAATAATATAAATCGTTCATCATTTTTATCTATACTATTTAATTTACCAAAAAATAATCTTGATCGACAAATATCTCTTAGCTGATGTCGTCAATTAATTAATTATGATAATAATGATAATAAAATTTATTTTATATCTTTATCAAATTTAATAACACATAATAATGAAATTTTATCGTTAATAGGTGAATGTATTCATTTTTTAAAGGGTGTGGGTGGGTGTGGGTGTGGGTGTGGGCGTGGGCGTGGGCGTGGGTGTATGTGTCGTCGTGGGAGAGTGTGGATGTGGGCGTCGATGGCAGGTGGGCGTAGGTGGGTATGGGTGTGGATGCGTGAGTTTGTGTGGGCTGTGAGGGTTTGGAAGTGTAAGTCTGTGGGTCTGTAGGCGTTAGGATGTGTGGTTATGGGTTTGGATGTCGATGTGGGTATGAGTGTGAGTGTAGGAGTGGTTGTGGCTGTTTGAGGTTGTGAGTGTGAGGAGTTTGACTATATTGGTCTGGATATGGGTGTCGGTGTGGCTGTGACTGTGACTATATGGGGATGCGGGAGAGTGTGGGTGTGGGTGTGTGTCGACGTTGGTGTGGGTTGTGGATTTGCTGCGGGTGTGGATGCCATTATTTTGGTTATCTCTATAGTCACACTCGCTCCTACAAGCACAGCTACACTCGCACCCACACCCAGGCTCTCATGTTCACACCCTAGCAAATGCTGTTAACCAGGATGAACAAAGTGCAATTTATCTGTGTAACTCTTCCGAAATAGAGTTTTTGCGATTCTCTCCTTTGTTTGTTAATCAACTGACTCGTAAGTGTTACCTGTCTTTGGTTGGTTCACTCATTTTAAGAGTGAGACGATTCAGGTAATCAGCTCTCAATGATAAGCGAACAAAATCACATATTTGTTAGGTCAAATTAGACAGAGTTCTGTTGATTTTTAGCAGATGTTATGATTTTTTATTAAAAAGTTTCGAAGCGGAACACCTTTTTCATTTATATTTTTGAATGTTTTGCAATGATGAAGGATTTTAAAATAATTTTGTCATATATAGTATCAAGCAAAAAGACGTCCGAACTTCTTCGTTTTCGATTCCTGAAAATTCCAGGTGGCTAGCTATTGCCGTTGTCGAGTGACATTGTTTACATTCACCTCTCTTTAATTTTAGCACAGACATTAAATACAGGATACTCTTGAAGCTGATTAGGGACTATTCGGAGGATTTCACGAAAATAATTTGTCAGAATCAGTGATAATGTTTTGGAATGTTTTATAGGAAGTAATCTTTTTTGTACAATATGTACTTTGAGAGCGGATTAAGAGCTAGTCATTGTGTTAGAGGTTTCGTTCATATTGATGTCATGCATTGCATTGGTAATTTTATTATTATACTAGAAATTGACAGATAATGACATGACTCTCTATTTAGACATGTAACAAGAAACATATATATGTATTATTTATCAAGTTTTCAATGCTTTTAATTGATTATAATTTCTATTTTATTTCAAATTAATCTTTTTGTAAACTCAGATTACAAGTACTGAATTTATTTTCAGTGAACCTATAAAGCCGACTTGTTGAAGATTAATTTCAAATATTAAAGCATTGTTCTAAAAACCATTTAAAGTATTATTACGTTCTGTAGTTTTAATACTAAAAGAAAACAATGACGATTTTTATTTATTAGAAAATTATTAGGTTAATTTTTTAATCGTACGTGTTGCGAAAGACGATGATTGCAACGGACTAAATTATTAAACAATCTGTTTGTTTTTTTACTAATACATAGTTGGATGTTGTTAATAGCACATTATTGACAAACGATATTATCTAGTATGAATTTTAACCATTTCATCAAAAGGTTCTAGGACAATTCGTTGCAATGATATAATCCAATTATAACCTATTATTGTTTTTTTTTAAAATGAATTGATCTATTCAGATAAGTAAGAAACACATAATCCAATGAATCTGAAAATTGTAGAAACTATTTTTTATTGATTACTTTGAATTTTTAATTCGGTTTGTATTGTCATAAAAAATTCTTGTTTGATGAAAAAAAATCAGATCTATATTCTGCTTCACAATTAACACTGATAAGATGAACACAACATTAAACATGAGAAATCATCAAAACTAATGTTAGTATTGCATAAATCATCGATTAATTCAAACTAGCTTAATTTTAAACATTTAAAATAAGAACTATTAGCCTTTAGACTAACAGAATTTGTGCGTTAAATAAAAATATTTAATAAAACGATTTGATCGAAAGTTTCTTTTGGTTATGTTAGAGCAAATCGTTGTTAGTGAACACTAGGCTTCTCTTGTTTTCTCAACTTATTGCCTCATGAGTCGTAAATCGTGAGCTACGGTAGAAATTGAAAGAAAGATGAGGCACCACTTTTGCTTCTATAAGAAGACTTACTGCTGACATAATTAAAATAACCTAACTTTTTATGTGCACAAGACGATTATTGTATTGATCGAGATTAAAAATCAAAGTTTAGTCATTAAAAACAGTCTCTACAATTTTCATATTCATTAAATCATGTATTTCTTACTTATGTTAATAGCTCAATTCATTTATGGAAAAAACAATAATAAGCTGCAATTGGATTATATCATTGCAACGAATTGTCCGGTCACCTGTATATCATACAGAGGTGCAGAATCTTCCAAAACATCAAAAATTCCTCCTCCCCCGCGGAAATTTTCTCCAAAAAATTTCCCCAAAGCTGTTTCTTTTTTCTTCGCCACTTACAGATCAACTTTATTTGACACAAAATATACATAAAAAGAGAATATGGCAACATTTTGTTCTCTTTGTTACTGTTCGTACAACACAGGAATTCTTTCTACTTGTTTGTCTAAAGATTCGCGATTCAGAGCTCGATTGACACGAATGTATTGCTTCAGGATTGATGCAGCACTCTTGTAGGCAGCTTCGCTTCGGATTTTGGCAACCATCAGGAATAGAAATGTAGAAACTGTTCAATACCATTCGCCAGATCTTTGTTCATGAAGAAAGTTTTTATCACTTTTGTCGTTCAAATTTGATCATCTTTTGTGCAAACGTTCCAATTTTCCTTGTCTTTCAATTCTCTCAAACATCGTCTCTTTCACTCCAGGTATTGATTATTGAGTAAAATATTGTCGATCTTGATATGTTTTGAATTGTTCTTCGTAAAATCAAGTAGAGTTTGAAACGATAACTGTCCATACTGAAGGACATCCTCCCTTTCGTCCAAAACGACTTGCTGATAGTGCTGCAATGTCAAGGCAATTTGCCATTGTTTCGAATATAGCAGGAGCTTCTTTGAATCGAGTGTCGATTGAAGTGCACAATGCTTGACAAAAATCAACTAACTTCTCTCTCAAATAGAATGTAGGATCATCCAAATCGTGTTCAGCAATTTTGCAAGTGACTGATCTCCCTTGGAATTCTCCACGAAGTAGATCATTGTAGTTTGAGGATAAATGTGTTGATGTTAGTGTCGCTTCATCGAACTCTTCATTTTCTCTCTGAAGAAATTCTCCCTGCTCTGCTTCTTCTTCTTTGTCTAAATGAACCTTTCGAGTGGTAAGAGAAATTTCATCTAGGTCTAGTTACGAAAAGGTTGAAAGACGAGATACAGGGTCGGAAATAAATTATCTTCCATTTCTTGTGTATTGTTCAAATTATGAGATAATTTTTCTACTTCTTCAACTTTTCTAACGTAAACGTTTATTCCCATGGAAAATTGTTCACCATTTGAATGGATATAGAAGATTTAACGAGCAAAGAGTAAATATCGCTGAGACCAAGAAGTTTTCCAACGAAATCGATCAAGGAAATATCCTCAAACTGCCAAAAGAATACTCATAAGTATTCGATTAAAATCTTTGCCTTGGAACTCACTTTAAGAATCATATTATCGGCTCCTTCATGTGAAACAATTTGAGCATGTCTTGTTCTAGTACTAACATCACCATGTGATAGACCATTCAGTTGATCATCTTCTTCCTGTAATTCGTGTGGAGACCTCCAGTCTTGTAAAATTGTTTCATATACTCGCCTTTCGGAGCGAATATATCTTCACTAAGAGATTGCGCAGTTTTGAGCAGTATTTCATACTGCTTTCCATACGAATATTTTTTCATCAATGCTGCACACAGCTTGATGAAATTGTTTATTCAAACAAACTTTCGTTGCCGTTTCACATCATTGATAGCAAGTTCCAACAAGTGTCCATGATATAGTCAACCACTCCGAATACATTTCAAG